TATATCGAAAATAAATCAAATTTTAATTTTTTTTCTAGCAAAGTTCATAAAGCCCGCTTATATACTTAAAATAAATAATTTAACTTTGTCATTCAGTTTATATAATTCTTATAAATATTAGACAATGTTTTCATTTTAAATTTGATTGGTCAAGTTTTGTTTATTTAGTTTTCTGTAAACATATATAAGTTGTAGTATTTGAAAAAATAATCTATTTTAGCTTACAAAGCCAATAAAAAAAAAAAAAAAATACAGTATTTGAAAATATTTAATTTTCCTCGAATATTTCATTACGGTACGGGAAGTTCAAGCAAATTTGCCTTAAGGCACAATGCCATTTACCATTAGTTTAATTTTAAATCTGACATATACTCTGTTCAGCACAATGTATGGGTTTACCTCCAGTTATTAAGTTTATTTCGAACATTTTGAATATTTTGGAAAAGGATTACTAATTTATCAGAAGATTTAGATTTTTTTTTAATTACAGTATCTGTTACAAGATTTAGATAATGAATTAAAACTAAAGGTTTCATCTAATACTCCAAATATTTTAAGCTACAATTTTGTAATATTTACCTCTTTCTGTTATTAAACAGAATCTTTGGATAATTTTTTTTAGAAATGTAATTTTTTCAGGTAAGGGTGTTCCGATTTATCACAGAAAATACTGTTGAAGAAAAAATAGTTGAAAGAGCAGAAATAAAACTGCGTCTAGATAAAATGGTCATCCAACAGGGTAGATTGATGGATAATAAAGCTGCTCAATTAAATAAGGATGAAATGTTGAACATGATCAGACATGGTGCAAATCATGTGTTTGCTTCAAAAGATTCTGAAATTACTGATGAGGATATAGATACAATCCTAACAAGAGGAGAAAATAAGGTATTTTATGAATGAGAAAGTGAAGTTTACTAATTTAAGATTGAAAAAGACTTGCTTATAATTCAAGAATGTACATTGATAATATGCAAATTTTAGTTATAAAATTATATTATTTCGACAATTCAATATTATTAAATTAATATCTGTAAATTTTATTTGGTTTATTATTATGGATTTCAATTGGATATGGATTATTTTTAAAGTTTAGAATTTTTATTTACTTCTCATTGTTGTTTAGACTGAAGAACAAAGGGCCAAATTAGAATCTCTTGGTGAAAGTTCTCTTCGTAACTTTACTATGGACAATGCACCAAGTGTTTACCAGTTTGAGGGAGAAGATTACAGAGAAAAACATAAGGTAATGTAACTGTATGTAGTAGCATAATATATATTTCTTAATTTGATACTAAACGTAAATATGATTTGTAATTTTTATTTGTAAATTTTGATTTATTACATATTCATAAAAGCATTAGCATTCAACTTAATATTGTTTTCGACCTATGCTTTGTAACTAATGTATAATCAAAATCATATTAAACATATTAATTCAAATGTTTCAATATTGAATAAAATGTAATTAAAGAACTCTTCTGCTTGTTAGCCTTATAATTACTTTTTATGAATTACATTTATTTTATCAATTTTTATGACTTAAATAAAAATTAACATAGGTGTCAGTAGTTGGATCATCTTGGATTGAACCACCAAAAAGAGAAAGGAAAGCAAATTACGCTGTCGATGCATACTTCAGAGAAGCTCTTAGAGTTTCTGAGCCTAAGGCTCCTAAGGTAAAATGATTTTCAAATATTCAGAAGTAATTGGTCTTAGTTTAAATCTTCATATTTAAATTGTTTTTTTTTTCTTATTTTGATTTTCAATACCCTCATTTTTAACTTATAGATTATATTGTAATCTGATTGTTAAAACTAGCAATGATAAAAAAAAAAATGATTTTCAGGCGCCCAGACCTCCCAAGCAACCTATAGTTCAAGATTTTCAATTTTTTCCTCCAAGATTGTTTGAACTACTTGATCAGGAAATTTATTACTTCAGGAAAACACTGGGATATAAGGTAGGATAAAGTACTGAATCAGAGTTATAGCTTCAATATAAATAAGACACATTAAACACATCTTATTAAATCTATTTACCTTAATATGGTAATTACATTATTGGAAGTATGTATGGAAGAGTACTAAAAATTTTGGTGTTATCATAAGGCTTGATTTATCATTGAACCACATATGTCATAAAATTCAATTTCTTATATATATATGTGTCCTAACACTTCAAAAAAAATGATTAGGTTCCCAAAAATCCGGAACTTGGTTCCGAGGCATCGAAAGTGCAGAAGGAAGAGCAAAGAAAGATTGATGATGCTGAACCCTTGTCAGAAGAAGAAATTCAAGAAAAAGAATCACTACTATCTCAAGGTATTATATTTTTTATAAAATTATAAAACTAGTCATCTGTGATTTCAAATGTATTTCAATACACATACATTTGATTTGCTCCCATTGCTTAACTATTGTGATATATAATGTGATAGGTTTTACAAATTGGACAAAACGTGACTTCAACCAGTTTATTAAAGCCAATGAAAAATATGGACGAGATGATATTGACAATATAGCTAGGGATGTGGAAGGCAAAACACCAGAGGAGGTAACACTTTTGAAGTATAAGATAATATTTTAAAACAATATTATTATTTTGTAATATTATCTAATGCTAATTGAATAATTTACAATGTATTATTTTTATAGGTAATAGAATATAGCACAGTATTTTGGGAGCGTTGCCATGAATTACAAGATGTTGAAAGAATAATGGCGCAAATTGAGCGAGGTGAAGCCAAGATTCAGAGACGGTCTTCAATAAAAAAGGCATTGGATAGTAAAATGTCTAGATATAGAGCTCCTTTTCATCAACTTAGAATTTCATATGGTACAAATAAGGGCAAGAATTATACAGAGGAAGAAGATAGATTCTTAGTTTGTATGCTTCATAAGCTTGGATTTGATAAAGAATATGTTTATGAAGAACTGAGAGTAGCTGTTAGGTAATAAAGCAGATATTTATTTATACAATTTGTCTAAATTTTGTATTAAGTGGATATGCTAAAAAAGTTGCAAAATTAATATAAAGAAAATTGTACTTTACTTTGCACCTATACATAAAAAATGTACTTTACTCTGCACCTATACATACAAAATGTAAATTTTTTGATAAAATATTGCATAATTTTAAAAATAGAAAAGATAATGTTTTACTTTTTTTTTTTGAAAACATAGGGTTTGAAATTATTTTGGTATGATTTATAAATAACTTGCATATAGTTTTGAATGTTCTGTAGTTTATAGTTGTTATATTTTCAGATGTGCTCCTCAATTCAGATTTGATTGGTTTTTGAAGTCACGTACAGCCCTAGAATTACAGAGAAGATGTAATACACTTATAACTTTAATTGAAAGGGAAAATCAAGAACTTGAAGAAAGAGAACGTCAGGAGAAAAAGAAAAAGATGCCAAAAGGCTCGACCTCAACTCCATCTATTAGTACAAAATCAGCACAGAAACGCAAGACAGAAAACTCATTGACACCAGAAACAAAATCAAAGAAAAAGAAAAAGTAAATATAAAAATTGATAATATTAAATATGAATAAAATAAATACAAATTTAAGATTTGCATAACACAATTAATTTATAATTTCATAATTATGGCTAGTAATGTGTCTAACTTATTGGTATTTTAGTCTTAAGGATTATCACACATATTTTATCTTTACTACAAGCATAAAATAAAAATTGTTGGTAATATTTTATTTAGTATAATGTAATGATAACAAAAACACAATGTTTGATGTTTTCTTATTGTATTCGATGTCCAATTTTAATTAATATTAATTTAATGTCCAAAATAAAAACAAAATGCATTTATTAAATATTATAAATACATGAGTTTACATTATGAGTTTCATTATTGTTTTTTGTTTCTCATGAAACACAAAGTTGGAGTAAATAATATTATAAAATCACAGCCAATTCATTCATTCATGGTATAATACTTTTTGGTGAATCTAGTAATAGTAATTCTTTTTAAAAGTTACATTACTATCGAAGCTTTGGCATGCATGCAATTTCTTTTTTACAAAATTCCATATTTAGAATTAATGTTCTACCGAGATATTCAAGAAACATACTCATGTGTAACCTACGATCCAATGATTTACAAGATGAAAATGTTAGCTATGTAAAATCGCGCATGCAACGTTTGATGTTCTTTTTATTCAATTTTATTTTAATTTTTATAGTAACAATTCGATTTTGAGACACTATGTAAAATAAATTCTGTCAAGTATTTTTAATTTTGGCATAAACCGCTTTATAACCCTCAATTGCTCATAAGTAATATAATATATTGAGAAAACATTCCGTAACCTATAAAAGCATATGCTAAATCAAAACAAATCGAACGTTTAGAAACGTCAAATGGAAGACTGAAACGAATCGTGGCCAACACAGGTATTAAAAGCTATGCAACATCACCGTTAGGGCAGAACTTGCTTCTGCCAAATTTGTTAGATATTATGTTGGTATCCTGTCCTTGAGTAAGTCCGGCAAATTTGAATTTAATACATAAATTATTAAATAATTATGTTTATATAATATATAAACCTTTTTTGAAATTGTTATTTCAAAATAAAAGAAGAAATAGTAATTTTCACTAATAACTATTTTAATTTATTCATATTTTTTATTATAGCATTCCTCCATCTCATTATATACATTTACCGTAAGAGGGTCGTCATGTGTACCCAGTCTGTTTGTAAACTGGGTAATTCTATAAAATATTTGACATTCAGTCAAATATATATTTTTTAGATATATTTATATATGTTATGAATTAATTTTGTATAGAAACGTTATATTATTATTTGTAAAAACTATAGTTTGTAGTTTAAAACTGTGTTTGTGACATAGTGAAAAAGGGGTTATGATTGCGTTTAGACAGAAAAGTTGATGGCCATCCTTATGTCTACTGATACATTGAAATTAATAATATTTGTTAAGTAGTGACAATAATAAAATATTTATGTGAAAGTTGATAAAATGAGTTTTAAAATATTGGATTTTCATAAGTCTTGAGCGATTTATAAGGCAACTAAATGATGTTCCTAAACCGGGATTTAAACACCACTTGTCAGATTCAGTTTTATGATACATTTTTGAAATATAATATGAGCTGTCAATACAAGAACAACTATAACAATTGTTAAACGAAAAAATTAAGAAATAAAAGAATGTTTGTATTGTTTAGATGAAAATATGCCAACAATGAGTGACAGTGATTCTTGTGTTTCCTCAAAAATACATTATTTAAGAATTTATATTTTTATTATCATTTATATAAAAATTGAGTCAAAAAAATGTTTCTTCAAGCACTAGAAGAAATTATTTCTTACTTTATAATTGATTGAGGGCTCTTTGAGCATCTAATGAAAACCATAAATTTGAAACGATGCAAAGCTTGGCGGGTTCATCTCAAGAGGCTGCAGTAAGTGATTGTGAAATCAATATATATGCAACACATTAAAATTATAACTATGTTGTTATTACTTATTTTAGGATCTATATATTGGACAATCATGGGCCCAGACCAACAAAACAGAATCTGCTGAAAGTGAAATTATATTAGATAATAGATTAAATTCTCACAACAAAAATATCGGTGATATACCCTCATGTTCTGCAGATCAAAATATAATAGAGAATTCTGGCCAACAACATTTTGACATATTAAAGGAGTTGATTGCATTACATAGAGAGCTCGGACAGCTAACTTCTGAATATGTATATTTTTTTATTTAATTTATAAACAATAGAAAGTTGATAATTAGATGGGCTATTAAAAACATAGCATGATATTATTTTATTTCATATTCTAATTTACAAAGATATTAAATTTACAATGAAAAAGCAGAGTTAGTTTCTCCTTTACTTGATTTTTTTAGAATATGCATTTTTTACAATATTACAGTAATTTTTTGCTGTTTAGATGCATTACAATAGTAACAAGTAATAGATAATTGAAGAACCTAGTATTAAATAATTGAACATTAAGTAATTGATTAATTACAGCCTGATCTTCATCCACAATCATTTATCCTTGAGACTCTTGTGCGAAAACACAGATTAAATACAATGATTTTAAAGCTAAATCCAGGAAATAAAGGATATTGTTTTTTATTCAAAATCCTCAAGAAAAATTTAGATACTACTGATAGTTATATGGTAAAACATTTTAATAATCATTTATTCATTTAATGTATCAAATGTATAATAATTAGTGTTTCACAAATGCAAATAATTAACAGGCCAATGTTAACCAAGAGAGTGAATTATTATTTGAAACCAAGTGCTGGGCTTATGAGGATGATGATCTATTACAATACATTGATGATGGACATTTGCCAACTTGCATTATTGATGTCATTGAAACAAACTATCCAAATTTATTTTACTCAAATTTTATTATAACTGAGATTTGGGATTATCGACAGTCTTATGGAAATTTAGTATGTGATATTAACTATACTCTTTTGAGGCCTTCGATACAGGTATATTCAATTAATATTTGATAATAGATTAGCTATTTGTTCAATATATTTATAAATGCCTTTTATTTATTTTACTGAGGTTAATATGCTTAAATATATCTGAAGTCATAATTTTCTGTTAAACTTGTTTTGAAATGTCATTGAATAAAGAATGAAAAATGTTTGTATTTAAATGGAGTGAATGTACAAAATTAAATTGGAGGGGAATATCTGGCACATTAAAAGTTTTTCATATATTTTTAATGAAAACATTGGGACCCAAATAGATATGAAGTTCTTTTGAAAGTTTCACTTTTATTTCAATGTTTGTAACTTCATAAAAAGTGATTTTCTGAAAATGAAACATTTTTCATAATTATGTTAACTTATTTGGTTGTTTGCATAATATTTTAAAATACGTTAACATATTTTCAAACATAGTTTAGATCAGGGCTTCTTAAACTTTTTTATATAGCGACCCCCTTCAAGCGTAGGAAATTTTAAACAACTCGCTCCTTCATACAATGAAATATATATTAAAAAAAAAACTTTTATAACATTTTTTTATTAAAAACATATTATTAACATCAAACAATATTAATGTGTCGGATGTGAATGTTTATTTTTACACAAATAGTTAAATCTAGACTCAATTTGAGTTAGTGCAGATCATAATAAATTTTCAACGTTTATTTGATATTTTGTTTTTATGTATGTTAATGTAAAAAGGCTGATTCACATAAATATGTTGAACAAAATGGCAATAATTTGTTCATTGCCATTTCCGATAGTAGAGGCTATTCAGATTTGATTTCTACCCAAAATTCATGCACAGGCACTTTAGAAAATTTGATTTAGAAGTAGTATCGCTTGTTAATTCTTCTTGTGCTTTTAAGTTTAAAAATTAATTTCTTCCATTTCAATTGTGGATTGCAAATCCATTGTTTTGTATCGATATCATTAGGAAAATACCTATGCATGTAAACTTCTGTATTTATATTTGTATGTAGTGTGTATACTAATTTTAAAATTTTATTTATAATGATTGAAAAGTATCAGATCTTTGTGACCCTTTTCCAGTAATAATGTGACCCACAGTTTAAGAAGCCCTTTAGATACATCTTTAAATTTATCTTCAAATATATAAAAAATATGAAATATTTTTTATTTAATCACAATTTTTTGTTGCATATATTAGAGCATTATAGTGGACGTAGCCTCTCTGACATCGAATGGTGAATGGTCGTCAAAGGAAAAACTTGCATTAGAAGCTGAAATAATTAAAGCTTCAGCCCCACCATTATGCCTTGATCCAGACCCAATACATGGAGAATTAGCTATCACTGCCCAACACACTAGTCAAATCTTTAACACAAGAAGTATTAAGAGGAAGGCTAGAAAATTTTCACAGGTACTTTACATATTTTCATTTATGATAACCTTTCATACCAATTAGACTGACGGTATTGATTTATCCTAATAAGAAATAATATATATATATATATATATATATATATTTTAATTGCAATATTTGTTACAACTGCTAAATAATATAACATCTAGTAACATTAATAAACAATAAAATAAATATAAATAAAATAGAGTACAAAATAAAGTATAGTATTCACATTAAAATGATATTTGTTAGATGATGATTTAATATAAAATAAAAGCAAATAATAAAAATAATAAGTAAAATAAATAAAATTTGTGAATAATAAAAATAATACTAGAAAAACAATAAAGTAGAAAAAAACAATAAGTAACCAATAATAATAAATATAACAAAATAACAATAGTAGAAATAATAATAATAATAAGAAGAAGAAGAAGGAATTAATTTATTAAAATTAATTTTTTTATGTATACAGATTTTTTGTGAAATGCTTGATGACCATTGATATAAATTGATGCTATATTATTTCTTATAATTGACTAATGTTATATGTAAATGACCTGTATTGAGTATGGTTATGTTTGACTGAAAGATTAATTACATATATATAAATGTTATTATTTTTCAGGTTGGCATAAATCGAAAACGAAAATTGATACAATACACTCAATACCATGGGCCAGACTTGTGTGCCTCCATTGCACGCAATCAAAAGTCTAGTCCCTCAAATTGTAAAAAGTATAAACAAACCAATGAGGTATATATTGTCTTTTTATTTGATTCAAAGTTGAACTTGAATGCTTGTATCAAATAAAGTTTTTTTTACAGATTTATATGCCTGCCCCTTCTTTAGATCTTCCTGAATTATCTGTTCCTAGTAATATAGATGTATTTCGTTATGTTAAGGATGAAAATGCATCTTTTATGCAAAATGAAGATTTGTTGAAGCAAATTAATCATGAAGAAAGTCAATTGATAGAGGAATACATATTCAATATTTATAAAAAGGAAGGATTAGTTTGTATAGATAACATAAAACTTTGCATACTTCAAAGGCTGATAAATTTGGAACTGTATGGAGAGTTAACCGTAGAGTATTATCAGAAGGATGGAATTAAAAACTATAGAAGTTGTGAATTTGTTCTAGGTACACATTTTTTAAAATACCTGTTGTTAAGTTCTTAACTAATGAAATCAATGTATTTAGGTACAAGAGCACAAGCCAATAGGTTTTATGATGAATTTAAAGAAATAGTTACTGATGAAGGAAAGGAATGTGTACAAATTACTCACATTGAGCCAGGAAAAGAGTCAGTTGTAACTTATACTGATGCATTAAAAAGAATTGCCGTACGTATAAAATTTTTTACTAGTCCTTAAATGCAAAACGCATTTTTCATGATTGTTATTTAACAGGATTTTTCTATTACTTAAAAAAAAGATTCATACTTAGATTATAGACATTTTGAATCTATTTTGCATTTATGTGAACAAATTAAATTATGTGAATTTAACAATTCATACATTGTTTAAATAATATAAATCAACCACTTATTTTCAATCTTACTAATTATGCAATAATCATGATTTTTTTTTCAATATCCAATATCATATTGGCTTTTACATGTTTCTGTGCCAAAATACTTAAGTTTTTCAACATTTTTGTGGAACAAAATTTTCATTATTCTTCCTATGTACAAAAAAGATTCATGATTATTGACTGGTTAGTACAAAATCTTGTGATGTGTACACATTTTTAGATGCAAAATACCAAGTTCAATATCCACTGATGATGACATCAAATTGTATGTCGAAATGTATGGAATTAAAGATTATTATCTTTATTTTTTCTTTATTTGATGTATCACCCTTAAAGAACTTAGTCATATACTCATATATATATATATATATATATATATATATATATATATATAAATAACTTACTCATATAACGATCTTCTATTTAAATTGATATTTCTTATGGGAATTGTTTCTCCTGGACACAGTATAAGGCTTTAAGTCCTTCAAATCTACAAGTACCTAGACCATCACAACAATTAATGGATAATGCACTTCTAAATCAGACACTGTTGAATTCAAGAAGTAATTTGGATAATTCTTCTGGACTTCCCACCACTTCCCCTGGAGCCAAAGCCAGTTCCAGTTTGATAAGCTCTCTATCAGGCAACTCCAACTTCATAATAAACAATGCAAACTCTAGTGAAATAAATAGTGATATCTCAAATACAATTGTGCAAAGTAACAACTTGGTGAATAATAGTGTTGTTTATAAAAACTATATAGGGTTGGTACCTACTAGTACGATTTCCAGTGATAGACAATATTCTAATATCTCCGGTAACAAACCCATTGCAATGAACGTTAATCAAAATAATATGAATTCAACGGTGCCATTTTTGGTAAGTGTAGAGAATTTACTGCAATGACTTAATTTTTTTTGTTTCATTTTTTGTGGGATGCAATTAGAGGATATCTGCAATCAACATTTTTTAACAATTAGATATTTAGTGCAGGTACAGGTATTCTAATATTTTTTTATATTTTATTTTTGCTTGGTGGAAGATTGAATGAAATGAAATGAAAGTATTTATTTATAGAGTATTATATGGCTCAAAAATGTTTTTAACTTAGTAATTGCTGTTATAGTTATATTACTGAAACACAAAACAAATGTGCCCAATTTACTTTTCAACCGGTAACTAATTTACTTTTTTACTACAGTAAGATAATATAGATAATACTTTAATTACTATAACAATAAATGCATGTTATATATCACCAACTATGTAGGCAAAGTACATTAAAAAAGTAGGTGAAATCATTGATGAAATGATAAAGAAGGGTTTGTCATATTTCGTCATGATAACATTTTTTTATTCAATATCTCTGTTACAACTAACTATGAACTTGAACACATTTATGAATATATAATATAGTCAAAATAATATAATTTCATTTGACACCTAGAAGACTAAATCAAACCTAAATCAAACACAATTGATGAGTTTTTAACATTTCCAAGAAAAAATAAAAATAGAAAATCAGTTACAATACAAGTTATATATATATATATATATATATATATATATATATATATATATATATATTAGAGTGGTCCTTAGAAAGGTCATTTTCGAATTTCCTTGCTCCCAGGGGCTCAAATGGTTCCAAATAGATAAAAAACAATTCTCTGAAAGTTTTAGCTCTTAATATTATCGTTTAGATAGAGCGCAATTCAATCAAAGTTTTGTATGGAAATAGCACAGAAAAATTTTCAAAAATTTTAAAAATGTTTTTAAGATGTAATTTAGCGAACAAATGAATAAATAAAACTCATTCATTTGTTGCTAAGTTATACCTAAAACATTTTTTTTAATCTTTCAAAATGTTTTCTATGCTCTTTCCATACAAACTTTGATTGAATTGCGCTCTATCTAAACGTTAATATTAAGAGCTAAAACTTTCAGAGAATTGTTTTTTATCTATTTGGAACCATTTGAGCCCCTGGGAGCAAGGAAATTCGAAAATGACCATTTTAAGGACCACCCTAAATATATATATATATATATATATTGCTACCAAAAATTGTTAATAATTATTAATTATGTCTTTTATGCTAAAGTTTTGATATTTATGAAAACATTCTTTGTCTGAGTCAACTAAATGTTCAATTTCATTTTTAAGTTCTCTTTCTATAAGACCTTGTTTATCATTTTACTATTTTTTAATTATTATATAATAACATTATGTTCATTAACACAACTAATACAGACTTAAGCACATATCAGATATACATATGTAACCTCCACAAATATAACTATGTGCCTAGAATATTTTTTTATGATGAGCTATTAACAACCACCACTTTCATCTTCTTAAATATTACAATAACATATTGTAAATATTATTGGCAAGTTCTAACAAGCTTTAACTACTCAAAGTGAGACTAAATTTGCATTTTGGAACTGCATGTCCACCCGGGGCCCCCGTGGGCACTTCAATTAAAATAAATCGAGAGGTGTCTGTATATAGATAATGTTTATCTCAAATAATTATATTCTAAAAGCATATTTAAATAATAATAGGCGCAATCATAAATAAAAAAAAATCGCGGAGGATGATTTTTCGAGCGGTTTTCAAGGTGTTCATCATGTTCATATTTCATGCAAAGTGCACATAAGGCATACATTTTTGCAAGTGTAGAAAAAAAATAATTGGTTTACATCTTCTTTCTAGATTTAAATTTAGTCTATAGTTTTCTTCCAACTTCCGCTATGCACAGGAATGCTAATTCTTACTAAAAATACAAAATTGTTTGTTTAATTGTATTTAGCATGTTAAAATTTCAAAAGGATTTTTTTTATTCAGATACTTTATAATTGGCATATAAATTAATAAATTTATATATATATATATATATATATATATATATCTTCTATATATATAAAAATAAGTCGGGTTTTCCTTCCTGACGAAATAACTCCAGAACGCACGAATCGATTTTGACAATTTTGCATTCGTTGGAAAGGTCTCGGGTTCCGCAAGGTTTATAGCTAAGAAAATTAGTGGTGCATGGCATCGTGCCCTAATGCAAATTGCTGGAACTTCACGCACCGTAATTGAAAATTCGAGTAATGACATTAGTTAGAATTAATGACATTAATCAGAATTATGCTTGGTTAAGTCAACGAGCAATTCTTGCCGCAAAGAATAATGATGTACACGCACTGAATTTCACCATTCAATCAAAAATTGCTGGCGATTTGGTGACATACCAATGATTCCGACTGGTCTTCCGTTTGACTTCAAACGATTGCAATTTCCAGTTCGCCTTGCGTTCACAATAACAAGTCGCAAGGCCAATCGCTTAGTTTGCGGGATAAATTTCAAATAGATTATTTAGAAAATCATTGTTTTTCACATGGGCAGTTATACGTTGCCTGTTCACAAGTTAGAAAACCATCCGCTTTGTTTGTGTTAACGTCAGACCAAAAAACAAAAAAATGTGGGTTACCAAAGAGCACAAGAGATGGGGCAAAGAAATTCGAAAACATCCGCATTAAAGACCATCCTAATCATATATTTTCTTTACATAAACTTGTAAACTTTTAAGATTCTATAGCCGTTTTTAATTCTATTGTATGAGGTGTCTGTATCATAAAATAAGTACATATTTTGGATATCTTAAAATGGAGAAAGAAGATTTTAATAAAATTCATATAGTAATATTAATTTTAACAGTTGTAATTTTGAAATTTTCCTCATGAGCTGTTGGTGGTACCACTTTATCTATTTGTGTCAAAATCCAAGTTTAAACATAATTTTTTATTGCGTCAGGCATTGCGCAATCAGGTTACCATTAGGCCTCCAGCTCAAGAAGCCAGTGGTGCACCAGTTCCTGGGCAGAGTGTTCTGGCCGGCCAACAACATCAGGCAACGCCTCAAACTATACCTCGACGTCCTGGAGATCAGCTAATTGAAAAACTCAGGGTTGTGCATAGAGAACTTGCCATGCAACAACGTCTCACTAAAAATATAAATGTGAGTAAATCATAGGCTTGTCAAAACAATAATTCATCAATATATTACAATTTATATTAATGTCTCTTATATTCATTACAGGTAAATTTAAAGGACATTTCATA